AGTGCACCTCAATATTTGTATGGTCTCCATGTTTGACACACAGAATAATATTTCACTAAAGAGTCCACGAAGGATGGTTATAGAGGTGCATGCTTAAAGCTTCAGGCCTTAGGGCTGAGGGAGGAGGCCAAGCCAGACAACACAGAAAGATCTACATGCACACAAGTGTACGCACACACACACACACAAACGCACTTACTGAAACTACAAAAATTTGAACACCAATATACTGTAGTACATAATGCCTTAATACAATACAGGAATGTTACTTTTTGAATATTGCTGGAAGATTAGGAAATGTCAAGAGTATTACATTCCCACACACCGACCGCATGGTAATAAACCAAATTCATACCCACAATGAATATAAACCATTACTCCAGATGTAAAATCTCCATGGTCTATTGCAATGAAGAATAAAAGTTTGTGTTCTGAGAACACATAGGGACAGAAGTGTCCCTTAGTATAGACCAGTCTGTCTAAACAAGAACCAACTCTACTCAGGGTTGAAACTGAAAAAATTTTATTCAAGAGACTGTAGATGTTAGGATTAAATTCAGGCCAAGAGAAGTGGGCAGAGGGAGAAGGGGGCGGGAGAGCTCCCACCCAAAGCAGGTCTGTGTTATTGCCCTAAATTTAAACCACTATGGCTCGTCCTCCCTATGCTAGGCCCTACATGCAAAATGTTTCGGAACCCTCCCAAAACAGAGCTTCTAGCTGGTGATCACATGTTCAAACCCTGGGGGGACAGTTTATCTTTGAATCATACTATTTCATTCCCACCTGATGTGGGAGTCCCCTCTGTGTGTTGTGATTAGCATTAATGAGTAAAGAAACTGCTTTGGCCTGTTGATAGGGTAGAACTTAGGTAGGCGGGGGAAATATAACATGAGGACCAGGCTTGTTGGGGTTTCTGTCCTGCCCAGTTCCCCAGCTGTTTAGTCCCGGAGAAAATCACACAGAGAGTCTACATTAGGTTATAAAACTGATTAACCCATTAGCTCAGACTTCTTATTAGCTCTTGTAGCTTATATTAACCCATTATTCTTATTTATGTTAGCCACATGGCTCAGTACCTTTTTCAGCGGAACAGGTCACCCCTTCTTCCATGGTCTGTGCAGGACTGGGGAGAAATGGGCTTCCTCCTTCCCAGCATTCTCCTGTTCTTATTGCCCCACCTTTACTTCCTGTCTGGTTTTCCCTACCTTCACCTCCTGCCTGGCCAATCAGCGTTTATTTAAAACATGATTGACAGAATACAGACAATTCTCCTGCACCAGGGAAAATTGGACTGAATGCTGGGAGAAAGAAGGGCAGAGTCTGGTGCGGGAGAATTGTCTGTATTCTGTCAATCATGTTTTAAATAAATGCTGATTGGCCAGGCAGGAGGTGTAGGCGGGAAAACCAGACAGGAAGTGGAAATGATGCAAAGAGAGCAGGAGAATTCTGGGGAGGAGGAAGTTGATTCCTTCCTCTCCTGCCCAGATCACCAAAGCAGGGACACCATGGATCTGCCACCAGAGATAGATGTGTTGAAACTTTGCTGGTAGGCCACGATCTTGTGTTGATATACAAATAAATAGAAATGGGTTAAATTAAGATGTAAGAGTTAGCCAATAAGAAGCTAGAGCTAATGGGCCAAGCAGTGATTTAACTAATGCAGTTTCTGTGTGATTATTTAGGTTCTGGGCAGCTGGGACGAACAAATGCCTCCTTGCAACACCCACTACCTATGGCCTTATTGCTACTTCTTCGTGAAAAATGGATTCCATCCAACTGCAAAGGCCCACATTGTTGTATAGCTGCAACACCATTCAAAAGCTGAAAGCCCACAGTCTAAGACTGCAGGCAATCTCTTGACTGTGAGTACCAAAATAAATAAATAAATAAGTAAATAAAAATCAAGTTATCCACTTTCAAAATACAATGACATAGAACAAAAATTTCTGTTCTGAAAAGGGTGACGGACCATAGCAAGGAAGGACTGAACCAAGGCAAAACCAAGCCCCTCTCTGCAAACCCTGCAGCCTTGTGTTTGGTGGCACTGTCTAGGCTCCAGTGGACTTGGCTAGCCCTTCCCTACAGCTCTGTTGCCTGTATCACATGTGATCTTTCTTGGGCCAACTCCAGTCTCTGGCTGTGGTATTCCTTGGCAAATATCTCAAGTTCTAGCTCCTTAAGTCCATTGCAACTTGGGCTTCACCTTCAAAGCTTGCTGAATTACCCACTGAGATATTATTCCATGCCTGGGGCCCAGTCTCACTCCGTATTACCAGTCCTCCGGTGGCTATCTAGAACCTTGGTATGAGCTTCCACAATAGTCTAATTCTGGAATTGTGCACGCTTGCAAAATCAATAGGAAATTCTGCTGCCAGCTCAAGGTGCAGCCTGGCTCCCTCTCATCTCTGCTGGGGCAGGCTCTGGGTACCAATATGGCTGAACTTAATCAAACAGCTCCGTAGCTGACTGAGTTGGCGTAGGCTGCCGAGGAGCCTTCAGAGTGGGCGGTCTTGTACTGAAGGAACCCTTTCTATTGAATGGAAAGCTGGAACGTACGCTTCAGGTCGGGCTGTTCTCTTTAAAGGTCAGCAGCATTTCCAGCAGTGACTTTGTCCACAACACTATATTTACGCCCCCTCCTTTCCTGGCCCCAATGCGTATTTTCCACACCATTCTGCTTCGGGTTCTCACTGCAAATCTAGATACAAGCAGGGAGAGCAGATCCTAGGCTGCTTGAGATTTCCTCCACAGCATCAACTATGCCTTACATTTGAACTAAGATCTGCTTGCGCTAGCAGGAAAGATGGCCAGAGTCTTTGTGAGAATCTAACACAACTGGCCTGGCCGGTTCCCTCACCTAGAGCCCTCCTTCCCCTCTGACACCTCTGGAGAAGTTTCTGGTCCATTTTTCTATTGGCATTCTCTTCTCCTTATCCAAAGGCCTATTGAGCTCTGCACACATCATTCGAAGGTTCCTCTAGGCTACAACTCCAGATTCTGTCACAGAGAGCAAGACAGACAGACAGACGGACAGACAGACAGACAGATAGGACCAACAAAAAGAAAAACAAACAAATCAACAACAAAAACAAATCCCCAAAGAGGCACAGAGACTAGAAACTGACCAGGCTGTAACCCTAGTGCTTGCTCCTCCATCACTGGCTTCTTCTAGAGAGATCTCTCCCTATAATGGTTCTGTAATGCATCCAAAGAGCCGCCACAAGCTAGGGATATAATGTCCAGATGTGTGAGCTTGTGGGTAACGCTTTTCATTTACATCATAACTGTCTGAGAGAGGGATTAAAATGATAAGTGGGTACCACGTGAGCACTGGTGCTGTTTCCAGCTTCAAGTAGCCCCACCAAAGACTACATACTTGGGCGAATTAACCCCTGTACCTCTTAATTGCTACGGCATGAACATTCATCGTCCTGGTATCTTTCTCAGACAGTTATGGTTTACCTGGAATTATAAATGTTTATGGACTGACATCCAGACCAGGTTGGGTGAAAGGGTCAATAAATGTGAGTGGCAAAGTTGACAGATAAGAGGGGACAATGGACCTTGGTCACCAGGAGCTTGCTCCTAGCATTACCAGCGATCAGAAGCTAATGAAGGCTTCTAAGCAAGTAAGAGGCTCACTGGGATGTTGTTGCAAGGTGGTCCCCAAAATAGCAGAAGTGGGCTAGATGCATGGCTCCTACTCTACCCCCTCCCCACTATATATATGTTTTTGCAGTCATAGATCTGATTTCATAATTAATAGCAGCAGTAACAGCAAGGAGGGACTTAGGAGAATAGATCTAAAGGACACCCCAAGAATCTACGCCTGGTGGCACACATCGGGGTACTCCCAACACCCAGAAGGCAGAAGCAGGAGGATCACAAATTTGAGGCCGGAATGGGTTATAAAGTGAGACTCCGTGAGAAAATAAAATAAAGTAAAATAAAATAAAAAGATGATCTGAGAGAGAAGGCTGAATCCACCGAGCCTGCGAAGAAATGAAAGCTGGAAATGGGTGGGCCCTACAGGAGCCAGCTGAGTTAATTACACTGGAGAGATGACCGATTTAAACCCCAGGCTGTTTTTCACAGTACTGGCCCAGGCTCCCTTCCTAGCGGCTCCTAGTTGTTGGAGAGTTGCCCTCTGAGTGATGCAGATGAATGGCGGTGTGGGGAAGAGCCACAAGAAAACCTGCTCCCTAGAACTGTGGAAGATGGTCCAGTTCCAGCCGCCTCCTGCAAGGGCTGCCTCTTCCCCAGGCTTCTTTGGGGCTTTGCAGTGCTGTTCTGCCCCACTTGTATAAAGTAAAAAAGGCTGTGGAGCGCTACCTCAGAAGGCTCAGCCCACTTTCGGAGACTCTGAGCGCCTTTGAACCCAAAGGTTTGTGTTGCCTTTTTAAAAACCCCACCCTTGCTCTCCATCATCCATAAAGACCATCCATTCCTATTTCCACCTACCATTCCCAGCTATCCTTAGGGCACACTGAGTACCACTTTAAAGAGATGCAGTGAGAGACGAGTTGCCCATCCAAGAAGGTCTTCTTGCCTGGCCGGCCCTTGGCCAGCAATGGAAGGCATATGCCCAGAAGACACTACTTTGACTAAACGAACATGCAGCAAACTTAGACATTTCTATTAGAAGGGGGACTCGAATATCGCTAGCAGGAAGTCCAGCTCCACAGCTTCCAACCCGTCCGTCAAACCCACAGTACCAGTGTCCTCATGAATGAAGGAGGAAGAATATTCTCCAAGAGTCTGTGGGTGGTTCGGAAGAAACCTCGCACGCCTTGAACACTGGATGAGGCGACCCTGAGCTTCCTGGCCTACCCATGTAATTCACTGCTTGTGACGTCGCAGGCGCCAGACTCCAGCAGGCGTGGGATGCCCTTACCCGCCCCAGAAGTCACAGGCGTCACCGCGCCTTTCCACGCCACCAGCCCGGGGAAAGAGAGGGGGCGGGGACCTGGCAGCAACTGGGCTGCACGACTCGGAGCCAAGAGAGGCAGGGCACCTCCCCGGCTTTGCAGCGGTGACCTCCGCCGGTCCTCCAGGCCGCTCGCCCTCCGGCTGCGCCCGCCCCAGGACGCCGGCGCCGGGTCCCCGCGCGACTACCTCCCGGCGTTGGCACTCCCCTCCTCCTACTCGCTCGCCCCTCCTCCGCCTCTTCCGTTTCAGAGGGAAAGTCTGCAGCCTCCTTCTGGGCTCCGCATCCCCGCTTAGGTAATCCTCTTTCCTGCTTACGCCACCCCTCCCCGGTGTCCCCAGCGCCAGCGTCTCCTCCTCCGCGCATCTGGGTCCCCACGAGCGGCGCGCGCTCCATCGCCTCCGCGGAGGGCAGGTGAGTCGGTCTCCCGGCCGAAGGCTGCTGGCCTCCGAGGCTGGGCCTGCGAGGTCCCGGGCCACTGCAGCGAGACCGCCCCGGCCTGGCCGTGCCCACGGGGACAGAGCCCGAGTCGCCAGCCGGGTCGGTCCCGCGGCCCCCTTAGCTCTTGCAGGAGCAGCCTGCAAGAGATCGGCGCGGGAAGACAAGTAGCAAGCAACTTTCTTCCCCGGCTTGGTTCCTTTCGGTTCTGCTACTAGCCTCTAGGTTGAATGGACTTGACCTGAGGATGGTCGAAAGCAGAGGCCCGGGTTTCACGGGTAGACGGCGTAGCTGTCAAGAAGTCAGGGAGCAGTTTGAGAGATGTTCCTGGGCAGGGGTTTGTGTTGACTGCCTCGAGAAAACCCACTGAATGAGTGTCAAATAAACAGACCTGGACCATATTTAGATAAATCTCCGTCCCTTCCTTGTAATTCTTTCTACACTTACAAGTCTGGTTGAGTGAGACATGCCTAGACAGCGGGTGTGGACAGCATGGGTGTAACCTGTAACCTGGCTTTGGTGAAATCACACGGACTCTCAGACGTGAGAAAGAAAACCCAGGGAATACGCGTGAGCGAGCACAGCGTGTCCTTTGGAGATTTCCATCCTCAAAACTAGCGTTGGACACGTGGAAGTTTGCCCACTGTGTGAGGGTGTTCGCTTCAAAAGCACGGCGGCTTGAGGCCCTGCAGACAGGCCACTTGTGGGGAATGGAACATTTTTTGGCTCCTTGCCCTTAATTCCCAATTTCGATAAGTTGATAAGGCTTGGGTCTGCTCCTAACACTGTAAGGCAGAAAACAGACCCCTAAATTACTCTTGGCTGATGCACTAACTGAATGATCTCAGCCAGGCCTCTGAAAGTACAAGGGAAAATACAGGCAACAGGAAAGCCCATTTTAACCCCTACTCACACCTGTTTTCTGTTTTGTTAACCTACTTTATTTTTAAGGGCTTTTTGTGCTACTTTTGAAGTTAATTCCTAGTCATGACGTTAAATCATACGAGACGAATAAAGCTACCTGTTTTGAATAGAACAAATACTTCTTCTTGGCAAGTTTTTGAACTAAACCACCGCTTGTGTGGTAACCATAGCCTAGCTTCAAGCTCTGTAGTGTGTGAAATTCATTATCACTGGTTTAAGTTATAGCTATATTTAGAGTAAAACTACACTGGGAGAGAAAAAAAAATGCTTATTCCTTTTTAGAAACAAAAAAGCCAACAAAATACAAGCAATCAGGGTGAATCATTATAAAGACATTTCCTCTTTTATTTCAACCCTGAATAATAATTAGAAAAAAAAAGTGTCTTATTCTATTTCAAGTCACCCCGGAACTACTCAAAAGTTAAATGTGTAATCAATTAAAAACAAACACCTTCAGTTTTAAAGGCAAGAATGGCACACATCCAAACTTCCTCTAGGTAGGAGCCCTTGTAAATGTCCTTGTTAGAATGCAGTCTGTGACCTAATGAGGTCAGCAGGACTCAGTGTTCGTGCTTTTGCCTGGGGTAATTTGGAAATGAAAGGTTTGTTTTCTATTTCTCACAATTAGCGTGGAGTCATGTTCGCTACGCGTACCTGTTTATTAGCATGACCCGAGCTGGGGGGCAGGTAAGGGAATGGCAATAATAGCAGAAGGGGTGTGTGTGTGTGTGTGTGTGTGTAGGGGGAAGGGTTTGTTGCATAAAGCCCTTCATAACCCCAGGACTCATACAAAAGGCAGGCATAGCCATCGTCCAGTACTTCCAGCATTGGGGGGTAGAGGTGAATTCTCAGGACGGTCTGTCTAGCTAGCGTAACTAGAGCAAGCTTCAGGTTCAGTGAGAGACACTGCTACAGCAAACTGGAGAGGTCTAAGGACACATCCAGCTCCAACTGTGGGCTTCCACAGGCACACACCCCCTCCGCATCTACAAATACTGGATCATGCTATGCATATGTGCGCATGAACATATACCATGTGCACGAAATGATACTTGAACGCAACTAGTAATTCCATTCTAACGTTTAGTTAGTAAGTTAGACAGGGTCTTATGTATCTCAGCCTGGTCTCAATCCCTCTGAGGTAGAGGAGAACCTTAATTTCCTGTTTCCACCTACGTAGTTGCTGGTGTTATAGGAATATGCCGCCACACATATATTTATGTGTATTATTTATAAATATTCATAAATATCCATAAATATTTATATTATATTTTATTATATTACATATTAAAATAGGTATATTATATTTATACATATAATATATTATATATAATATATTATATTATTATTATATATTATATATATTATTATACATTATAATATAATATATTATTATATTATAAATATTTATAAATATATATTAATAAATATATATTTATTAATAATAATTCCCAGCATTATTAATGCTGGGAATGCATCCCAGGGCCCCAGGCATGTCTGGCAAGCACTTCACCAACTGAGCTGCATCCTCAGTTCACAACACAGTACTTCCTAAGTCATCATTTCAAAAATAAACTTAAAGTAGGAAACAATGACAAATTTTTGAAAGGATGAGCAACACCAAAAAATACGCAGTCTTGAAATCTGCAGGTGAGAATTGACAGTTGTGAAGGTGGGTAGCTGTGTGGTCTTCAGAAGTCTTTCATGTAAAATGTTCTTAATAAAAGTTGAGGTTTTTACCTCAACGTTATTTACGTAACGATGTTACCCGTTTAAGAAATCAGTGCGTGTAATTCTTCTGCTGACTGAATACATATTGTTGCAAGTGTATGCTCTTAAACACAGTTTTGCAGTTTCATATCCATCATGATGTATGTAATGTTAATCAAGATTCTTCATATTAAAAAAGCTTTTCCTATTGAAAAACCTGAATAGGTATCAATGGTGCGGTGTCCATATTTTAGTTTTCCAAATTCTACAAAATGGAACACATCCATCTGCAAGATTTCATTCCTTTAAGTACCCTTTGAGTTACTTCCTGCAGGTAGTGGTATCTGATTATACAAAGAACAAGTAGGACATTTTCTTATAAGTTCCTTGGCTTGTTGCCACGTGATGGAAAAGTTTGTTTTTAAACTTCTGCTGTTGACATGGTGTGTTGTTGCAAGGGAGAGGGCCACTTGTTTGTCCCAGCCACACAGCTAGCTTACACCTGAAATAACCACACAGAAACTGTATTAATTAAAACACTGCTTGGCCATTAGCTCTAGCTTCTTATTGGCTAATTCTTACATATTAGTTTAACCCATCTCCATTAATCTGTGTATTGCCATGTAGCAGTGGCTTTCCGGAGATTCTAACTGGCGTCCATCTCTGATGGAGGATCCATGGCTTCTCTGACTCTGTCCTTCTTCCTCCCAGCATTCAGTTCTGTTTTCTCCTCCTACCTAAGTTCTGCCCTATCAACTCAGCAAAGGCAGTTTCTTTATTCATTATCCAATGAAAGCAACACACAAACAGAAGGAACTCCTACACCAGTGTGTTTTTCTAAAATGAAATTCTGAGACCTTCAGGACATTTCCAACCAATGATTGATTGATTTCTGCACTGTCTTGTGCTAGAGGACCTGGCAGACCCATGATATGTGTTATGTGTATGGGGTGATTCATATTTCTGATTATTTCTTGTAACTGAATAAATACTAGTCAATTCTGCATCATCTGGTATAAATTCAGTGGTTACAACTCTTTCTGCATATTGCAAATCAGTATCTCTGTTGAGAGGTTCTGTAGCATCCCTTAGTACCACGAAAATAGCATATAATTGTGACTTTTGGACAGAACCATAAGGGCTTTGATCCACTTAAGTTTTTTGATTTTTTAATCTGTCTTTCCTTATTTATTTGTATCAGTTATTGTTGTGTCCCCTACAATGTGGGAAAGGATCCAATTAGTTCTCTCTATAAGTTGAATTCTCTTGCTTTGGGGATAGTTGTTAATCTCTCCCAAAAAATTACTACGAGCTCTTTGTCAGGGTTCACTTTCTTTCCATAATTTGTGAGTCTCATCATTATTAAAAGGTACTATACTTTCTAAAGCTGGGTCTATTCCTGCTAATTGATGAAATCTCAGTTTTCCTTTTAGAATTAACTCAGAGACCTTTTGCAATACAGTTTTAATTTTTTACTTGGTTTATGCAATAAAAGATCAACTCAAAGATAGTATCTTCCCTCTACATTAAAATGTGTAGGAAAATGAGAATGCTGTAGGAAAATGTGACCATGATGCAATTCAATATTGCATCCACAGGATCCACATGTGCCTTCTGCAAATTTCTCTTCTATGAAAGCCAATTCTCTCTCAGCTTTGACTGATAATTTCCTGGAACTATTTAAGTCCTTGTCACCATCTAAGATTTTGTTTAAACTAATCAGTTTGTCAAGTTTTATCTCAATAGTGGGATATAGATTGGAAATATCTCCTAGCAATCTTTGGAAGCCATTAAGAGTCTACAATCAGTTTCTCCTAATTTGCAACTTTTGGGTCCTCATGTTTTGTAAACTTATTTTATTTTATTTTTAAAGATTTATTTATTTATTATGTATACAATGTCTGTCTGCTTGCTGGCCAAAAGAGGGCATCAGATCTCATTACAGATGGTTGTGAGCTACCATATCATTGCTGGGAATTGAACTCAGGACCTCTGGAAGAGCAGTCAGTGCTCTTAACCACTGAGCCATCTCTCCAGCCCCCTAAACCTATTTTATAGCCTAAATAATTAATAGACTCTCTTCTTTGTATTTCAGGAGCAATTTGTATTCCCCAACAAGGCAATATTTTCTTTACTTCTTCAAACATTCTTTCTAAAGTATCTACATTAGAATCAGATAATAAACTGTCATCCAGGAAATGGTAAATTATAGATTCAGGAAATTGCTTACGCATAATTTCCAATGACTGCCATATAAACTATTGGCACAGGGTGGGGTTATTTAATGTTCCCTGTGAGAGGACCTTCTATTGATATCTTTTAGCAGGCTGAGAATTGTTATA